CTTTTATATATATATATATATATATATTTTGTCCCAAGGATTTATACCTGAATCAAAAACCGGTCGAAGATGACCGGTTAAAAATTGCAACTCTTCTTTATATCCGATTCGCGGAATGATTCATCATCGTTGTTCGTTTTTTCGAAGTTCACGAATGAGCAGCGACACTTTTCGTAGGCGTAAGGTATCTCTACACATACACTCGAAAATAAAAATAAAATTGACAGGTATATGTGTACGAACACTCACGAATATATTTATTTCAAATTGGTCAAATTAAAAAAGAACAAAAAAAAAACCAAAAGAAAGATTTTATTGACAGCCGCAAGAATTGTCATACACGTGACAAATTTCAATGCTTGGTTAAAAACGGTTCAATCCCGTCACGCTAGTTTGATACCGAAACACGTACTTCATACGAAATTACGTAACACCGAGGTTCTCGTTGTATTTTTGTTTTTTTTTTTTTTCTCTATTCGGTTCGATATAACGGAATCACTAAAATCGATTCTTATTGTTACCTTTTAATTCGCGAAAAAAAAAGAAAAAAAAACTAATTTTAAAATCCGATCTATTTAATACAATAGAAAAATAATGAAATAATTGATTAAATTGATATACGATTTAATGTAATTGATATTATTTAGATTGATTTTGTTAATGTAACATTATGCGTAACGTGAACAACGTTGCTTACGAAAAATGTAGATTTTTCTTTCCAAATGTCCATTATTATTGGTCCAGTTTGAGAAATTTGAGTAAACTAAACTGTTACATTGATTTATTCTTCTCTTAGGTGACCGTTCTTTTTACAGACAGTCGTTCATAGTCGATTTGAATTGAGCGTGTTAGAATTACAAGGAAAGTCAGATGTGGATCCAACAACAGCCGAGTTAGTTGCGAACATCCGGTCACGGTAATAGCCTTTGAACTATAATTCGTCCGCTCCTACCGATCATCACTATAGTTTCTCTCTCTTATCATCCTTTTCCATTCATCTCACTCTTTTTATAAAAAATTTCGTACGATTTCGAATATCAATTGATTTAATCGTCCAAAAAATTCATAAATCTCAGAAAATATTTGCAATGTTTCGTTTGTTTTAATTTTTGAAACAAAATACTTATGCAATTATCAAAATAAATTAGAAAAATCAACGATTGTTATTGAAAATAAATTTAATTGGATAAAATAAATGGAATTACGTTTGATATAAATTGATAAAAAGAATATTATCTTTGTTTAACAAAAATATAGAACGATTGTTTTTACGATCACGAAAAGTTAATAACTTTGACTAATTGAACACAAATATAATACACGTCGATACGAATATGATAATTTTTGATAAATCAGATTAGATATTTAAGTGAACGTTTTAAGCAAACTCTTTTCGTAAGAATGATATTATACGTTAAAAAAAAGTTACTCACGTGTTTCGAAAATGTTTCTTTTTCGTAAACAATTCACTTAATAAACGTTCGTGAGAAAAGAATCACTATTATAACACTCGTGTTTAGAATCACGCGTAGGTAGAATCGTTTTTCCTAAAGACTTTCTCTCTCTCAAGGCCCAACTAAACGTATCTTCGTTTTTTTTTTTTTTATTCTCTTTTTCTTATCGTCCGAAAGGGAGAGGAAGAGTGCAACGATCAGAGTCGAAGAACCAAACTTTCTATTGGAGCATCAACAATAAAAAACGAATTCTTATTATTTTCGTGCGACACGATAATACATTTAATTCTTCTGTTTCGAATAATTCCAAAGGTCTGATTGCTATTGTACACACGTATTTTCGATTAAACTAATCTTAAACAACTCTACTATTATCTTTTTCGATATCAGACCAAGTTGTTTCTTTTTTTCATTTAAGATTGGCCTCATAGACTTAGTCCAACAAAGATAATTTCTAGATAATAAAGTTAGACCTAAATTCGACGTTTAAAGTTTGAAATAACGTTTGACAAAACAAAATATATATATTGCACACACACATACTTAATTTATATATATATATAATTATTAAATATAAATATATATACAAGATTTATAAAACGTGGTAATTATAACTTAACAATAAAAGACAATTTAATGAAATACATTTTTGAAGTATTTGTGCATGTATCAGATAACCTAAAAATTAGCAAATGAATGAATTATAATTAATACTGGAACAGCACGTTAATGAACAAGCTATTTAACATTATAAGAGATAATTTAATTAAGATTTCTTCAACTCTGTGATACCTTATTAAATATTTATCTTTACGAAAATTTAAATCATCCAGGAATCGGAATTCAAGTTAAACAAAAAAATAGCCTAAATGTTCTACTGGCAAAAAAGATTTCTTGATAAAATAAGAGAGAAGGTGGGAGCAATGACCTTGGCGGTGTGCAGAATACACTCGGGTAACGGATGGCGGGGTTCTGAATAGTTGAACCGACTGCATCCAAGCTTCTGAGTTTGCTATGCATGGCTAGAAGACGACCAAGGTCACGACATTAGCAGCGAGGAAGAATCGACAAGAAGATTTTTTGATTATTTCAGTGATTCCTAAATTGAAATTTAATAGTAATCAATGTGAGTTTGTGAATAGTGTGAATAAATTATGGAAGAAATAAAATTGTAATAGAAGAAATGTAATACAATTGTGTATAGATAGAAAACAGGTATGTGTTGCGAACAATTTTTGAAATTATACTTTTGGAAAATTGTTAGATTATGATTCTGCAGCATTTTTATCATTTCTAAATAAATCGTACAAAATTGTAATGAATTAATAAATAAAGAAAAACGTAAAAACTATATGAACGAAATAATTTGTTGTTTATGCATTTTCACACACGCATACACACACATTTAATAAATTTAATTCAATTATCTTGACTTAAGTTAATTCTATAGAATATATAAATTATTTCACATTTTAAATCTCATTTCTCTAGTCCCAAACGTCTATCAATTTCTCTTCACGTTAATTTATTTTACATAATCGAGCTTTACGCTTGATTCAACCTGATTTTCACGTCTATCATATAATCTGTTCAATCCCGTAATGATTGGGTTCTTCATGGTGATAAAATAATAACCGCAAAATTTATTATTACGAATGTCATTATTTTATCATCGTCATCATCATCATCATCATTATCACGATAGATCGTGGGTCATCGAACTATACATTAGAAGGAAGTTGATATAATAATGTCTTTTATAAAACAATACTTTTTCTTTTCCGATCGTTCGAGAAAAACTCTACAAAATAATTATAAAATAGTAGAATTTTGATTTCTCGTTAGAAAGCTACGACTATGGATTTTTTTTTATATTTTTTTTTATCAACGTAAATCACGTAACGTTTAACAGAAACGTAAGTCTTACCTTATCGTTATCTCGTCTTGTCTTTTATTAATTTTTCATCATCGAAGATCATCTAACGTATTTAAAAAATAAAAATGATATTTATACAATTCGATAAATATTTTCGAACATATTGAACGATAATTTAAATTGATATATATGCACTTGTAAGATTATTATATTAACTAGAAAATTTAATATGGTCACACATTCGTCTCGAGACAAGAGATATATAATCACTGATAGATAATTTCATCTTCTGTTTCTTCTTTGTTATCTCTTTGATTATTATTTATACTCGGAGTACAAATATTTAATAAATGTGAATGAGTAACGAGTAACGCGATTTTATATTTTCCCACGTTTTCAAGATACACCGTATAATGATGAATTATTCAAAGTGCATACAACTTGCAAGTACCTTTTGAAATAAGCATAAAATTTCACAATCAAGGACGAATATTTCAATTCATTTCATTGAAATAATAAAAAGAAGATGTCATTCGTCGAATATTAAAATCGAACGATTTACTGGCAAATTTTAACCAATACCTATGATTATTTTATGGTATTCTATAATTAATCGAAAAATACATCATATACCAAAAAAATCGTCATTCAATAAGATAGAAATGCTAATGAATAGTTTCGATTAGATACGTTGCATTATCGTATAGAACGAATATACATGGTGTCCAAATTAAAAAGTGTTCGTTTGGATTATTATACAAAAAAAAAAACAAAAAAAACTACCGTACTGCAATTGATCGTAAAAATAATAAAAAATTACTATATACGAAAAAAAAAGTGTTTATTCAAAACAATGAAACACCTTAATTCCATGCAGTTCCAGTATAGTAATTTTGAAATAAATATTTTGTCGATTATTAAATTGATCCAAGAGATCGAGTAGCTCGCCAGGTCCGCCTGGTCTCATACACCCTTTGCATTTTTTTCTATGGGTATATTTAAAATTCAGAATATATGCCTCCCAACCGGTTTTAATAGAAGAACTTCGGCAGTGCATAGTCGAAGAAAGTCGTCGGATTACACCGGAAGTAGTGCAATATATTTCATGTATCACTGAGAGAAGATTTTATTAATGCATGTAGATCAGTGTTACACATTTTGAAAAGATTTATTTAAAATGAAAATTTGTATCGAAATTTAATATACATTTTAATGTATCTGAAAGAATTTTTTTGTACTGTGATACAAAATTGACTCGTGGAAAAAAAGAACTTTAACGTTTCATTATTAAATTTTATAATAATTTTGATAAAAATTTGTCGTTGGAACACCTTGTATATTTACACGTGTGTGTATATATATAAATCGAGGGAACGCGAATACACTTGAAACATGAATAAGTAAAGAACGTTGAAAGTAAATGCGTGAGCGTGTACAATTATTTACGGAAGTAGCAAAAGAAGAAGCTCCATGCCATTCACCTGATTTCATTTAAGACTTCGCTCTCAAACCTTTCTCCAACTTCTCTTTTCTCGAAACTTCATGGTATAGATTCACGCATTAATTTATGCATTATCATTAATCTCGCGTTAGAAAAAAAAATATCTAGATATTGTTCTCACAATAAAAATATTATAAGAATAAATATAACAAAAAAAAAAAAAACAACTTTGTATTATTTAAACTATTTTGTTATATCTAAACAAAACAACAACAAAAAAGTGTAATACTTTTGTTCGTTGTATCGAGAAAAAAATAACATACCGATTTATCCGTAAACGAAATCAAATCTATTGTTCGTTTTACTATTCCTACGTAAGTAGGACAAATTGTAACCAAGTATGAAGACTCGTATTAAATGTATTTCTTACCTCGAAAGATTCGATTGGCCATCGGATAATCGAAAAAAGGGTGTCGGGTCGGCGTTAATCCGAATATGTTCTTCCTTTGATGTTGAAACGATCTTGCTGCCGGTGTCCTTAGGCGTCATTCTTATTTTTATATCCTTTCCCGCCAATTTTCTTCGCTAACGAACTTTGTTGATATCGCGTTGATCATGCAAGACGTACGAGTTGTATTCTCTTATACTAGATATTTTATATATATATATATATATGCGTACCTCCTCGCATTACCCTCCTTTCCAACAGCAACAACTATCACCGTCATTAGGATCACACATAGAGAAACCAAAGACACGCACGTCGACTTTTACGTCTCGCGTTAATATTGGAAACTACTTTGACGAACATTGTCGGATGCTGCATGATCGAGATCTGAATGTTAGTAGATGCTTTCAAATTAATTTTTTTTATTTTTTTTTTTATTTTATTTTCTCTTACACATTGTTATACGTCATTAATTATTATCATCGCATAAATGTTGTTCATATTTGAAACGTTATTATTTCGATTTACCATTGATTTATCATATATTTGAGTATTTAATCTGAATTAGAAGAAAATGAAATACAATGCCATTTTGAAATAATCTCCAGGGTTTCCTGCTTTACCGATGGTTCGTTGGATGGTTTGTAGATCGTAGCGCTGATCCTAATGAAAGATTTAAAATGGTAAATGTTAATGAATTACGTATGTATAGAAGTAAATATAGAAACTATTTACGTTATTTTTTTAATTATTTAATTAAATGATGATTAAAAGCAGATAATTAGTTTGATATTAATTGTATTTTCTATTAACATTTTTAAATAATACATTAAATCGCAAGTTTTATTGTGATTATTCAAGTTCTACCACGAGTTCACCCAAGTTGCAGCGAACGAAGACCTTTTTAATAAAATTAACAAATCCGTTTAAATATATATTTCTTTTATTTCATTAACAATTAAAATATATGGACCGTTTATTTTGAAAGTGGTGTAAGTCCATTTTTAAAAATAATGAGATATCGCGTAATTCGTGTTTAATTTAATGTAAATTATGTATGTATAATTAGTCCGTGTTTAATTTCTTACAAAATTTCTATATTTTGTAAAGTTTAAAATTGGTCGGTAAATGAAATTGCATGATCATTGATTTTGAAAGTGGTATAAGTCCATTTGCAACCTATAAATATACATTATTTTAGTTAAATTATCCTAAAAGTAATGCATATAATCAAATTACATATCGATAAATTAATAGAAACATTATTGAACTTGATATAATTAATGAATATTTTGAAATTAACCAATATGCAAACCTTTAATTTTCTCGAAACAACAGAAAATGGACTTACACCACTTTCAAAATAAACGATCCATATATAAATTACAGTTATACAATTTACATTAAACAAAATTTCGTAGAAAAATATTGGGTTTTCCAATAACTTATGCATAAAAATGAAGAATTTTTCATTGACTGCGTTCGAACAACATCCTCTTACATTATTTCGCATGCGTCATACTTATCAGCGGAATTGTATATTACTTATGTTAGTTGCCATGACTATAAGAACGAAAACATTGGATGAATGAATGAAACGCTACGTTTCGTATTCCGTTTCATTCTTGTATCGGTCATCAGAGATAAAAGTAGACATAAAAAATTATCGATTAGGATAGTACCTCGGTGTCAAATGAATTTGGAAAGAATAGAAAGTGCGAAGCAAATGGAAAGGCCTGTAACTCGTTGGCGTCGAGAAGCTCTCGAGAAAAGCGTGAAAAAAATCGAAAGTAAAGAAATGGAAAGACCAACGTCTAGGAGAGGAATCAAAGAAAATCTAGAAGATTACAGTCATTTTCGTCCTGGGACTCCTGCGAATCCTCGAAATACTTTAACGGTTCGAGCACCATCTGCTTCTGTTTCGGGTTTGACACGTTTAAATACGGGACTGTCGATTTCAGCTCTTGAAAGACCCATCACTCAGCATGGAATTGCTCCAATTCGACCTGGAACTGGTAGAGGATCCTCAATGACAAGGTTTGCATTTTCTAACTTATTATCGGAGAGATATACGTACAGAATGAGTCAATAAAAATGATCATCTGAAATAACTTTGTGATCGAATAAAAAACAAATATTATAATGATTTATGTAGCATTTTATAAGGTACACATAGGATTTATTACAATTTGATTAAAAAATAAAACGAATTATCATATTTTATTTCTTTATTCGTCTTTTTATTTGCAATAGCGTGGAATTAGCGTAGAAAAAACTCAATGTTCTTTGATGTTTCAAAACAAAAAATCAAACACTATAATATAATTCATTGGTAACACTAATAGACAATGAGTTATTTTAGATGATAATTTTAATTAATTTACCTTGCACGTATCTCTGTTAGTAAGTTGTCTAAAGAAATAAAACACTTTTAATTTGATTTTTCTTTCTTGTTTTTTTTTTTTTTTAATCATACAGACAAGTTCAGGATAAAAGATATTACGAAGGATTAATACAATTAAAAATGAGAGAATTATCGCAAGAAATGACTACTATCGTACGAGACATCGATATGCAGAATAAGGAAAGGGCAACAATATTGCATTACGATAAAAGGGCTAAGGATCTGGCAGCGGAATTAACGTCATTGCAAGGAGAACTCGCTGATTATAATATTGTCGTAGATAAAATGAGTTTGAATATCGACAAAGAATCCGTAGATCAAGAGGCTAAAGAACTTTCGTTGAAAAATGAACGATCCATGGTAGAGATTGAGGAAATGTTTGAACGTAGACAAGAAATGGAACAACGATTACGTAAAACGGAAAAAGAAATAGAATTGGAGAGACAACGTACGGAAAGATTAGTCGAAATGATGGATCCAATAATGAGAGAAAAGTACGATGAACTTAGGAAAGAAAAACTTCAAGTGGAAAAATCAATCAACGGGATGCAGCAAGAATTTGACGAATTATCGAAGGAACACAGCAATTTGGAGGAACAAATAGCACTGTCTCCTTTGAAACAGGAAGCTGTCAAACTTCACATTAAGATAATGGATGCAGAAGATAAGAGGGATAAACTTAGGGAAGAGGAAAGGAATAGATTGTCGCCTGATAAAGAAAAAGAGCAATTATTGTCAAAAATTAAACAAGACAATATGGACAAATCAGCCGCGGAAGCGCAACTGGCTAGTAAAAAAAGACAAATAGCTGAATTGGAGGAAGAATTGGAACGATTAGAGACTGATTTAGAAGACGGTAGAACTGAGAAATTAACGAAATATAAAGAATTGCAAAAACGGGAAGAAGTTATGGAACAATTTGCTTCAACTTTTGAAGTGAATAAAGCAGAGGAAATGGATAGGATTAAAAAATTAGAATTATCGATCGTAGAGTATTTAGAAATAATATCCAATGCCGATGATAACAGGAATTTAACGAGGAGCGAGGAAGTATTGATTTTAAATAAATCCAATAATGATTATAATTACGATTACGACAATGAGCGTTTATCGCACGATCAAAGTTTTGAAATGTTAGGCAATGATTATATCAAATTACAAGATACATTGCGTAAATTAGAAATATTAGAGCATAAATTGAAATCGGAAATAAGTGATTTTAACGAACAAACCAATGACAGAGAATTTGAATTAATAAAATTAGAAAATTTAAATGGTTTTAAAATGACAAGTCAAATGAAACACGAAGATGCGAATGCTGAATATAAAAAATTAATGAACGAGCAAAAAATTAGCGAGGAAGAATTGAAAACCGTTAAAGATAATTATAATCGAGCGAAGGCGCGTTTTAACGAAAATCGAATTTTTCTTGAAATTGAGGCACTTGAAAAAAAATTATTCAATCTAAAGGAAGAAAATAAGAAAAGTAATGATTTACTTCAAAGGCAGAAAGAACACGTTGATTTTCTACCTCGTAAACAGCAAGCCTTGAAATTAATGGAAGAATATGGTACAATACTTGAAAGCAATTTCAAAAATCTTTATTAAATTATTACACCTTTCTTATACATGACATACGTTCTTATTTTCAAATCCGTTTAAATTGGATATATGCATACAGAAGACTCAATAGTATAATTACATTTTAATATTGCATTCTTTGTTTTTTATTGAGCCACAAGATTTCCAAACTTCCTTTCCAATTTATTCTTAGATATTGGTATTGATGCAGCTTTCATTTCATTTAAAAATGCAGCGCCTCCTTTGTAATCATTTTTTTGATCTGTTAATAATTAGATTTGTAAGGAATAGGATTAAAGATATTTTCTTAAATTTATTTAGATAAATATTTGAAGAATACTTGAGAAAATATTATCATACCATAGGTCGAAAGGATAAAATCACACATATGCTTTACTTTTGTGTTGTCTTCATTCTTAATAGCTTTAAATATAGTTAGTAATATATCAAGTATATTATCATGGGTTTTTTTTCGAAGTTCGTAAAGCAACAGTTTCATTTGCACATCTTTTTTCTGTGTTTGTGAAAAATATATGTATATATAATAAAATAATAATTTAGAAGATAAAATGAAATCTAATATAATAAAATATAATATAATATAATATATGATGAAAATATGATATATACCTGAAATATTATTTGTATTTCTGGAACTTTATCACTTCGTGCTAATGCTATAATCAATTTTACTATAGACACTGGCTCTCCGTGAATATCAGTTATACATTTTAAAATCTGTTTTAACTTATCTCCAGTATACGATAATGATAAATCAGCCGAATTCTGGATTAATATATCTAATAATTTTTGTTTTAATGGAGTTTTCTTATATTTATTCGCACAGTAAATAAAAGTATCTGCAGCAGATTCTATGTCATTTATCATAAGATGTCTTTCAATCAAAGGAGAAAACAAAATATTGTCAAGTTTACAATAATTATTTTCCGAGAGAGTTATTATCATTTTTTCTGCATCATCAGGATCTTCGCTTTCGATTAATGCCATCAATAAGTTTAAACAGCCAGAAATAGTATTTGAAGAGATATTAATATTTTTAACATTGTTAATTAGATTAAATGCATCTTCTACTCTATTGTTTTTTACTAGAGAAACAGCATACAGTAATATTTTACTAGTATCTAACTTAAATTCGCTGTATTTAGTTTGAATTTCATTTAATTCAGCTTCAGCTTTATCCAATAGATTATTTCTTACATACAAATGAAACAACCCTGCTCTCATTCCTGGTGTCCAATCGAAGTTATTTAAAATAATCTCTTCCTTTATTTTTTCGGCAGCCTTTAAATCATTTTGTTTACAATATTGGTCCAATAATTTCTTTAGCACGCCACGAATGTTCATATTCTTAAATTTAAGTTCTATCATATGATTATGTAGTTGCTCTATGTCCATTTTTGTTGGATGAGGTTTCACCGATAATATTAAGCTAGACTCATTTCTTTTATATGTGTTACTTTTATAATTTAAATCTATTTCTTCAACACTCAATAAATTAAAAACAGTTTCTAATTCAACTGCATCTACTTTTATGTTAAAAATACGTTTTACCATAACATCGAGCTCTGACTCCGATAATTTCACTTTATGTTTTTTTAATATTTGTAAAAAATTAATAAGTTGCTTCAGAGTTTTAGATTCAAATGCATCATCTAATAATGCATTCAATATATACAAATATGGTGGTTTCTTTATATGAGGTATTTGTAGCATTAATGATGCATAATCTGATGCACTGGTTGCTTTTATATACCCTTGAACAAGAGACTTTTGTAAGTGAGAATCACAAAAATCAAGATTCACTCTCAATTTAGACAGCAATGATAATAAATCGTTTAATCTGTTATTGTCTAAAAGAAATGCACTGATGCTTCTTACCAGAGTCATAAAATTAATCTCTTTTTGGCTCAATGTTGTTATTGTCTTAATGGGATCAGTTACATCTATAAAAGGAAGTACATATTCAATGAGTGTATCCTTATCTATCTCTACATTTAAAGATATCATGTGTGAAAAAAGAGAATATAATTTGTTTTTGTCTGCATTTTTCTGCACTTGTAATAGCAGTGGCCAATAATAATGACTACGTATTGGGATGTTATATTTTTTCATATCTTCAAATAAAGTAAGCGCCAATAATTTTCTGCCATTATATAAGGTAATTTTGGTAGCTTCATTTATGATATACGGAGAAGAATTATAATTGATGATTTCATGTATCATTTGTAAAATATCTTTATCCGGCTTATTCGATTGGATATCTTCATTTACAAAACATTTAACATATTCTACATAAGTATTTATAACTTCTGGACAAGAAGGAAGATTATTTAATATCTTAATAGTATTTATTCTGTCGCCGGCATATATAAGTTCAGTAATAGTATTAGTAATTAGATTTAAGTCAGTTAACTTCAATGATTTGGATAGAAATTTTAAAATACTTTCTATGTGCTCTCCATGTCCATGACGACTAAGAATTTTAATAACTTCCATAATATTCATAGTATTTGGATGATATTTTTCAAAAGTTTCCATAACATTGGAAATATTGCCCATCTTTGCAAAACCATATGCTAAATAAATATAAGTATCAGGAGATGGCATAATTTTATTGGATTCCATTTCCTTGATTACTTTATTAGCTTCTTCAATGTTTCCTTGCATTGCATATACTTTAACAATCATATTGAATATTTCTTCATCCCACGTATCTAGATTTTCTTTCATTTTTGATATTATATTAGTAGCGACTAATAATTCGACATTTTCTGTTTTCGATAGTAGATTCAATAGGGAACAATATATACTTTGATCAGGTTTTATGGTTATTTTATCTAAGAATTCATGTGGATTTATAGTTTCTAAATTTTGTGCATAAACTGTAAGAAGACAATTATAATGTTCCAAAGTTATTTGACAACCTTTCTTGTGAAGAAGATTCCATACTTGACTAGTTAATTTTTGCCTTGTTGGTAAATCAACATTAGGTAGTAAATTACCACAACATTTGAGTAATATTAAGCCAATATCGTTTGACAATGTATTGTCTGTTTCATCATACATTTGTATAATTTGTTTGAAATCATCCAAGCACACTTTGCCATTTCGAAGATTTATGTACAAATCAACTACTTCATTTTGTAACGTCTGAGACAAAATTGGAGTAAAATTAGTAGTTACGGTGCTATAGAAATTAAACTGTTGTTTCTTGCGACATTTGTAGAAATAAATAAAATCACTTTGTTTAGAATAGTACTTGTCTAATCTATAAAATTTAGGATAACAATTCATGAACGTTTTCTTATAACTTTTTAAGAATAACAAGTATCTTTTACTTATAAACATATTCGAAAGAATTTAATTTTTCTTAAATAGTTGTGTTATGAAAGTAATGTAAAAAGATATTTTTTGTTTACAACATACTACAAGTCTTAACCTTAAAATTATTCGTTATAATATTTTGGCCGGTAGCGCCAATTTCTCGGTCAATAAGAACGATATCTACCTATGCAACAGTAAATTATATTTTTAAAATAATAATACTAAAAACACCGTTACAACGTTAGCAAGAAACCTTAACAGCAGAAAAAAATGAATGTGTTCTTAATTACACACAATTTGCTCAATGAAAATTCATAACTGCTGATGATATTACTTAATTAAATAATTAGTTATTAATAATTAAAAAGACCAACATTTTGTTTCCTATTTCTAAGCAAAGCAAGGAAGTTTGCAACAACAAATAAAAATAAATAAGTGCTCTTAATTGCACACTATTTGCTTAACTTTATTTTATCAAATATTTTGTATTTATCGTTAATTAGTTGAAAATAATTATTGAACTTTGAATAATTATGAAATGGTGACGTCATGAGTGGGAGATGTGTTATACACATGCGCAACCACAAATTCAAGGCGCAAGCACCCTTGGAAAAAAATAAAAGTAAAGTTGGAATATCTGCAGAGGATATATTAAAAGTTGATTTCCAAAGTAATAACCTATAAGGTAGTGAAAAGAAATAAATTAATCGTTCATAATGTATAAACAATAGGTAAATATTTTCAATTTATCATTTTTTTTTTGCTGTTGCGATTTTATGCCAAGTTTTTTATGGTGAAGTATATAGAAACTCACAAGTCCCCTGTTTTATCTACCCAGCATCATTTTTATTACCATTAGGACCCCTATTGGACGATAGTAGATATAATACTTAACGCGATAACAGTACAATACTATTAAAGAATAGTGTATTCTCTCTTTGATAGTATAAATAGTATAGTTTTATTGTAAGAAAATTTAAAATAATTATATTTAATTGTTAGTGTCTAAATACGTGTGTATTATTGAAGTATAAACAAGGAAATATTAGGGTAATTATTATTAACAACTGATGAAAGATAATACTTAAACGAACTTTACTCTATTTTACTGTTTCTAGATGACTCTACTTACTCTATCAAAGATCTATTTGACTGCAGTAGTCGGAATATAAAGAAAATTCAAAATAGGGAGATACAATAACATTTCAAATTGTCATATATTACTCGATGATTAATTAAAACTTATTAAATTAAAAATAAATCTTTTGAATTAAAGAAAAAACGAATGAGGGAATCTATTTAATCCTTTCTACGAATTCGTGAAAGAAAAAAGGAAGAATAATAAAAGGAAATATAATAATTTATAGAAAATAATATAGGAATGAAAACAATTTGAATGTTGGCCGTATCTAATTTTTTATTTCTTATTTTGTTTTTTTATTTTTTTTTTATTTGAATTGTTTCTCAGATAGTATAAATAATGAATTTCCAGAGATATATTTCGTTTCGATTGATAAATATTACAGTTGGTCAAAAGATAAATATATTTGAAAGAAATAAATATAAAGCAAAATACACTTCACACGTTATAAAATTACATGCATCGATTACATTGTCAAGAAAAACAGCACACGCACGCATACATGGATAGAATGAAAAGTTTTGAGCCTTTTTTGAGAAACCATTTTTTTTTTTTTTCGTAAAACCAACTCTCTCTTTCATTGAAACGAAAAATGTTATTTTTTTGTAGCTTAAAAATTTTCAATCCACCCACTTACATAAATACACGATGATTATAGATGAATAAATAAGCGAATAAATACGAGATTAAATAATTAAAACGCGTAACATAAATGTTCGAACACACGATAACTACGAATAAAATATCAAACCTTATTAATAATATATTATAATAATATAATGTAGTATATAATGGTATATTATATTATTATAATATATTATAGTATATTATATAAATAATAGTGTATAAATATTTTGTATCGTCGTTTATCTACAATATTTTTATATTATTAATATTAGTTAATTTTATAGTAATATAAAAGATAATTGGATGTTTACACAATTATAGTTTTTCGATGGAAACAATTGAACGTTTACAATGAAAATAAAATATATAATGAGAAAATTATTTATAATAATTGATATGAAAAGACGTCTACACAAATTTCTTATTACATCGTACGTATTGACTTAAAAATAATTCGGAATTAAGAATACATTAAAATATTATTATTGTCTTATAAGCTTATTTTTAAGTTCTACTGTCCACGGACTGAGATCGAGTACCCTACTTGTATTCAAAAAAAAAAAAAAAAAAAAAAAAAAAAATAAAAAAATAAAAAAAATATATACAAATTGATTTGCATTGAATACTTTCGGGTTTGCGTCCAGGAATTTTCTTGACTAGTTTCCACTCTCATGATAGATATAATATATCTCTGTATATTAATCTTTTATTTACAGGTACATTATTTTTTACGACTTTTTTTATGACTAGGTTTTCTACAAGTAAATTTTTCTATGACTAGACGTATTTCACCGGTTATTTAATTTATATTTAATTGTAAGATAAACTTTCTTTTTTTCCATTCGAAATCGGGTTGCAAACTATTTTTTATTTCATCTCTACGTATTTGCAAATAGATAAGAATTTTTTCCGGTTTTTATTTATATTTGTATTTTTATTTTGCTTTTTTTTTTTTACTTTTTTTCTCTTCTTTTTCTTGTATTCGCTTTTTTTTTATCCGTCACAATTATACTTAACTTAAAAATTTGATTTATTACTCGCGAGAAAAATTTCATGTAAATTTTGGTGTCATATTATAATTTAATCTTATTACGAATAAATTAATTAAAATATAAGCACAGCCGCGTAATATTTGTACATCGGTGGGAATTTGTTTTCGGATGATAGTAATCCGTAGAAAAAAGACGAATATTGTAATTAAACTGTTAAACTTCCTCAATTATATTAAAAAAAAAATTCCACAAAATTCAAATTAAATTGTAATAGTCTCAGGTCTACAGTTATTTATATTAAACTAATCTAACTTAATTGATAAATACTTTTGCAGCTGCCTTAAGGGACAATCTCGTACTCGATTATCGAAACAATTATTATTAAATTACAAATATATTTATGTATATATATACGAAAAGGATGTTTAGCCAATCAGAAATGCCAAAAAAAAAGAAAATTAGACAAAAATTGATAAAACGTAATAAAAACGAGTTCGAGTTCGAGGATATAAACAAATGTTTATTTTAAATTATAATCGCGTTTATTAAACGTTAATTCGATAAAATGAATTTTTTAAATTAACATAGAAAAATAATACTAATTCCTAAGACATCCAAGAATATTATCATCTAATAAGTGAAAATCATTCTAATTTAACTTTCGTTTTGGCATGAAGAAAGCTATTGTTTCTATGGCATCGCATCCACGGGCAGTGATAAGTTATGGCGGAAGTATATAATATATGATATACGATGAAAGACACATACCTACATATTGGGGAAAAAGAAATGTATTATTATTGTTTCGTTAAATGATTGTAGTGATATATATATCGTAAAATATTAATCAAACAAATTCAGATTTGTGCTCATTGGAAAAATGACATTCTGTATTAAAGAAAAATTCTTGTACAGTTTCTTGATTGGTCGATTCGATTCAGTTTTTTAGTTATAAGGTGTAAAAGATGGAAGTTAATCAAAGAGAAAATTTGATATATTTTACAATTCTAGCCAGAAACTTTAGAAGTTTGATTGGGAAGTTTTGATGAATCCACCTTATATAATCCGAATTTGGTACCAAACGATTACCATCATTTTTTACTATTGCAAAACTTTCTTAGTGATGAGAAATTGGCATTAAGCGAAGATTGTGAAAATCGCTTAGTCGAGTTTTTCGTCAAAAACCGAGATACCAGGGCTTTTATGAGAGTGGCATTAAGAAGTTTACCTTTAAAATGGTAAACAAATTATAAAAGGAAACGGTGCATATTTGATTCAAATTGGACAATTCGAATCATGTTAAAGTCTTGAAAAAAATAAACGTAAAAAGTAATAAATTTCTTTTTCCCCAAGTTAATATAAATAAATACATATACATGAGATTCAGTAAAGATGTCGTTAAGGAAAGATTATTAATTACAAGCGTTTACTATCTCGTAATGACGATTTTAGATATCGAAGTTGAAACGAGTTTTTATTAGACGTTTCATCAATAATTGCATTTACGACTGGCCTGCATATTCGCTTTAGAATATAATTAACTAATTTAATCTTTTGATTGTGTCGTATTTTGATTATTCGTAAAACTATCAAATTTAAATGACTACAATAGAATCTTGGGATTGGTGATTTTTTTTTTTTTGATCAAATTCGACAAAGTTAATCAAAATTATGAGAAATGATGAGAAACTATTATATATATATATTATAAATGTTTGTTGTTTCCGTCGAATATTACTTTGAAAGATATTTTTAAATGAATTATTACTAATAAAAGACTATTAACAATTAGTTGATTAAACATTATCTTAATTTTAAGAATAAAATTCGTAAATTTGATTGTTAAGTGAATTAGAATCATATGAATTTGTTTAAACCAATCTTTTAAATTAAAAGTTTATCTATGATGATACAATGACTAGAAACATTTCAGAATATAACTAAAGTATGATTAAAGAGAGACTAGAATGTGACTAGAGTATGACTAGAATATGACTACAATATAACTGAAGTATGACAAGAGTATGACTAGAGTATGACTAGAATATGACAAAGTATGACTAGAGTATGACTGGGGTATAAGACTAGAAACGATTTAGAATGTGACTAGAGTAAGACTAGAGGATGATTTAGAATATAAATAGGTTGATTAGAGTACGACTAGAATCGATTTAGAGCATGGATTATATTACTAGACAAATAAGAATCATCATTGGGGATCCTAATTTATTTATTTTTTTTTTTTTCCAATACTCTTTTCTCATTTTATATTTTTGGTATCAGCCCATTGAGCACTTGCATATGCGTCATAGAAAAGTATAAGTAAGTATAAGAATGAAAGC